AAAAATACCAAATGCATTAAAAATATAGATACCTAGAGAGAGAAAGGAACAAACATACGTATATATGCACTTGCAAAGCCTCATGAACATCCCACATTACAAATTATTTGCCTCTGCCCACACCACTCTGCCTCCAATGACTTGCTTCCCCTTCCAAAGTACTTCTAATACCACAAAACTGAAGAAATGGAAACTAACCCAAGGGCTAAAGCCTTAAAGGGCATTTCCCTCAAAGTCCTTAGTCGTCTGCTGGGAATTACCAGTTCCCAGAGAGCCCCAATTCCCAAAGGCCCTGCCCCAACCCCAATGGTCCTAATTTCATCTCAACTTCCCAAATAACCGTAATCCTTTCCCAACCTCCATACCTAGAGTTTAGGTACTTCCAAGGTCCTAGCCTAAAGAGATTCTTCTATAAAAGCTGGTAATATGTTAATTCAGACTTCATATCCACAAACACAGCTAGAGCACTCGTGAATGTGCTCACTAAACAATAAATGGATGGATGGATGGATGGATGGATGGATGGATGGATGGATGGATGGATGGATGGATGGATGAGGTCGCAAATTATAATATATATTTTTCCTACTGATTCTGATGGTAGATAAGCAATATCCTCATAAAGCAGTGTTCGCTCTTAGGCAAAAGTGCCTCTGTTGAGTAGCTCAGGTTAGATGTTTCTCCAATGACATGTGCATACAATTAGGCAAAATCCCTTTAGTGAAGAGAATGTGTTTCAGTGGTTGAAAATTATTTGCTTTATAAATTAGTATATTTTGAATTTTGGTTTTATAGTCATTGAAAGAGAATAAAGGGAAAGTAGATTCTCAAGGCAGTCCTAATTAATAGAAAGCATGGCTAAACGATAACTCTCAAAGTACCAAGAAATCTTTTAGCCTTTATATATTCCTTCAAGGGAAATCCCAGAGATGGAGGAAGCTCATCCGTTTCAGTGTGTCTTCTTCACTCACAAATGGGAGAAAAAGTGGATGACAGAAGAATCTTCTTCTAAAATACTGAAGAAAAAATCTCATATCTGTATGTGTACCTTTATATATAATAAAATGAAATTATGTATGTACATATATATACATGTGCACACATGAGAACTATTACATAGCAATATATGCAAATTTATGTGGCAGATACCAGGCAACCTTACTGAGTAAATATGGGTTAAGGGAGAGGAACTGATGTAGCATAATGGGGAATTCAGAAGGCTCTGTATGTAAAGAGAAGTTTTCCGGTTATATAGACTTTGGAATAGGTGCAAAAAAGATTGGACATTCAGAGTGGAGTTTTCAGCATAAGGGAAACACAAGAGTATTTAGGGTCTATAATGGATTAGGAGAGAAACAAGTAAGGTAAGAGACACAGGTGGCGAATGGGTGCAAAAACTTGATTAGCAGGAACTGACCGTAGACAGTGCTGTGGCTTATGGTATTGGGAGCTGTTTTGAAGTTTTAAGAAAATGCAAGTATCCCACTGAATCTAATATTCAGAAGAGTAAAGAATGCCGAGCACTTTTGCAAATAACAAAAATCATAAAAACCAAAAAGGCAAATTCATTAAAATTATCATAACTCTCATGTAAATTCCTTTTAAAAATTACTTTTATAATCACATCTCATAAAAATGTTCAATGTTTTATTCTCTGACTTTCAGTTTAATTTCTCTTTGGGAGCTTGTTTTGCCTAATATTGTAGCCATATTTCTGCAAAGCATTGCATATGTCTTAGGTGGAATCTAATTCAGGCAACATGGCAATTGCATCACTCCTTTTATCACATGCTGTAGAAATATTTCTAATTCTCATTTAAATTCATGGTCATTAGCTCGTTAATCAATCCGCAAGTTTTGTTGTTGTTGTTCTTGTTTTGTTAATCTTCACCTGAGGATACTTTTCCATTGCTTTTAGATAGTGGTAAGGGGAAGGGAGGGAGGGAAGGAGGGAGAGAGAGAAAGAGAGAGAGAGAAACATTGATGTGAAAGAGACACATCGATTGGTTGCCTTCTGCCAGAACCCCGACCGGGGCCAAGAAATCAAACCCAAGACCCTTCAGTGCACAGGCTAATGCTCTGACCACTGAGCCAGCCCAGCCAGGGCTAACCTGTAAGTTTTGATGCTTTACTTTCCATTGTTACATTATAGCAGGTATGTAATAAATAATATAAAATATAATTTGTGATAAGCTCTTAAAATATCATAAGATTTTTATCCTTTTAAATCTCAACAAGTATTATTACCTCTACATTTTCTACAGCCAGTAATAAACCACAATGAAACAATATCTTTATAATTTATTTTTAATGCTCTTGAACATAGGTAACCCTATACACTAGCCTTATGACAGTTTATTTCCAATTCTCAAAATTGTGTTTATACTAAGCTTACATTTCAACCTAGAGTACATCAAAAATTATTGAATCCTTAATATCAATTAAGGATTGATATTATAATTATAATTTCCTATAGAAAAAGTCAGATATATGTAAGAATAAAACTTAATATTCCTACATAATACAAATCAATTACAGACATGACATTTTCTTAATTGAAATTCAATCTATTTCTAGGACATATAAACCTATGTAAAAATGGAACAAAATAGACGTCTCTATTTTTTTTTTCCTAATCATACTAGATATGTAGAAGGATATTTAGACCTGATTAAAGTTGCCTCTCTCTGGATGACAAAATTAAGAATATTGTGGCTAATTGACATAAATAACTTCACATAATAAAACACTACATGAAGAGTGATTTAACTACCCCTTTTAAAAGGGTTGAATATAGAACTTTCAGGTATCTGTACACACAAAAGTGTCTGCTAATCCAATAGATTGTTCTCTGAGCTCCACTGCCACAGTTAATCCTACACAGAATTAGTGGATTAGTCTTCGTGTGCAACTGAGAAAACTGACCAGTCCCATTCACCTAAAAATAGCACCATCACTGATATGTCTTAATAGTCTACTATTTAAACATTGAAATTTAAATGTATATATTCCATCTGAGATAATAGAGACAGGGCATCAATACATTAGCACTCGTCTTACTAACAGGAACCGTTCATAAGATCGAAAACACCCCTATTTCATGGAATCCAAAGGATCAGTCTAGAGAGATGGTGACATAAACACCATCTCTCACATCCCAGGACACTCCTCCACACCCCACTGCACAAACACACACGTCCTAGCGCATCATATCTTTGGGAGTTTGATGAGACCAAAGTACTTGGGTTCTGGCAAGATACAGAATTGTTCCTTTATTCTCATGTTGGGGGAAAACACATTTTCTACTCTGGGTGCACAATGCTGGAAATCCCACGTTAATGGAAATTTCCCCTTTCCACCCAACTCCCTCTTTCCTACATTCAATTCAAAGTAAGTGTTTCCATGTATTGAACAAACAAAAAGCCTAATATAACAACATATACATATGTACATTCCTCTGGAAAAAATAATTTCACATGAATGGATCCTGGATAGCCTGTGCTCCCTTTACCCTTTATCTTTTTATTCTAAAGGACATGAACCCTCGACCCTCCCCATTGGCTTCATCTCATTCAGTGTGTTTCTCTCTCTCTCTCTCTGTAGTGTCATCGCCCATCAATTCCCCCTCAAAAGCACTTTTCTACTACTTCTCTGCCTTTGCCTATATCTCAGTGTCAACATCTTCCACACACAGTCTAGGTATCAGTGCTCATGGCCATGTCTCTCTGCAGGGAGTCACGGTTAATAGTTCTGTGCAAAAGGCAGCCCTCCATTGCTGTCATTAACCATTTTAAATTATTTTATAGATTCAATTAAAATTTAAGTACAGATAAAACTTGAATGGAGTGCCTACAATTCCAAATCGCCTTTAGGGGAAAGAAGCTGCTTCCTTAAGGGTTTTACACCTCCTTTGAAGAATGAACTGGAATCAGAAATGAGTAGAGATACCCCAATTTGTAATTCAACCTCAAAACTTATTTTTGCTCAACTGCAAATTCAAGGTGAGAAATAAGTTTTCTGCTGATGTCCATTAAATTTAAATGCTACCTTTGTTTCAACACTCATTTGTTTTTAGGAATTTGACAATTTGTCAAAGGTAAAGCCCAATCAGTTTCAATTAGTAAGCAGTCTACATACATTTCAACAAATCTCTTATACATATACATATAGTAACATCATATTTGCATAGCTCTATAAAGAGAAAACATTGAATAGATGGGTACAGTTCCCATCAGAGTTCTAACCTTTTAGAAACTTTGCTGAAAAAACTCTTTTAGATAGGACCCTTATTCACAAAATATGCACACATTGTATATCTGTATCGTACACTTTGTTTACACATATTTATCATTAGGATATTTGCACAAGTGTTCATATTTTTAAGCCAATATAAGTAAAAAAATCACATAGCAATTTCAAAATTTTGCAACTATATTTGCAACTGTTAAACATAATCAGGCATGCTAGTCAGCAACTATATGTAGGATATAATTCAGTCTTTCCAAAGAAAATATGATTTGCATGGTGGTGCCTTCATAAAATTCAACAGATTTTGAGAGGAATTTGTACTAAAATATTTTGCATATTCAAAAAGTAATATGTAAAAACATCTGACTAATGCTTAACTAGAAGGAAATTCTTATCATTGCTCTCTGACAAGAATCTAATTCTCTTATTGTCTGGCATTGTAAATGTGATAAATTAATTGAAGTTATTTCCAAACAAAGAGAATACAATCTTCTGGTCAAGAGCCTATTCATATATTAACAGAAATGTGGTGTCAGAAAACTGACCATTATCCAAATGTTTTGATAGCCTAAAATACATTTTAAATTTTACTGTTACTTCATAAATACGGTAATCATTATAACCCATTCCCTCCACTTTTCAGATAATGATTTACCATTATGTATTCAATAGCTAAAACCAGTAATCAAAGAAAGCCAATGAGTTTAATGTATCAGAGTTAAACAGACTAAAAAATTTACAATAAGTATTACCTTGGTCTAATTTTTCGTAAAAGAGTTCAGATCTCTTGCCAGATACCATTTCTTTGGGTTCTGTGGGCAAAGAGAAAAGAGATTAATAAAAACAACCTTTCTTTTTACTCTTTAAGTGCTTCTTAAGGAAGATTCATTAGTAATAAAGGTCAGAGAAGAAAATCATTTAACAAAATATTCAGCAGCTGCCTTGGGAACCACTGGCTTATATGCCAAATAACTTCCCCAAAGGTCCCGTCGCCCAGGCAGCCCAGAACAGGGTGACGGGCGGTAGGAGACACTCGGCCCGTTTTCTTTGCCTGTCTCCCTTTGTCACATGGGAACAAGCCTCGCACTTGAGGAAGGCAAAGCATTAGCTCCCGTCATTTGAAAAGATCAGGTGTGAGCGTGTTGAGACAGAACATTTACGTGGAACACAACGGACTGAAATGGAATTTGCAATTATCTAAACTTACTTTCCTCCCTCCCCCAGTGAGTATGGGTTTTAAAATATTCACGAAAGTGTGGTTGTTTTTCTATTCTGTTTTTCCGCAAAAAGTGATAAAATGAGATATTGTGAGATGCCTCTGTAAATAACTGCAGATTACCCTCCTCGTAGATACGATTTGAGAGCTTTTCCATGCTGCAACAAGGAGGGAAGCATAGAAGTCAAAAGTTATGAAAATATATCTTATACCCTCCCTTAGCATATAGCAATCTTGAGGAGTATCCCATAAAAGATTTTATGGCATCATTATCTGAATGTGCAGATTTGAGGATACAAAATTCAAGACTGAGCAATAGCTTTCCAGAAAGGACTGTCATGCACATAGGTGAAGCATTTAAATTCGCCCGTTAAGAAAGTTATTTGAAGAAATGCTAACTGTTAAAAGCAATATTGATTAATTGGCTATAACAGTCATTATAAGAATAGTCATATAAATGCAATCACCGTATCTTAATAGCTATGTGATCTTGAGCAAGTAAATTAAACTCTGTAAGCCTTCATTTTTCATCTGTGATATTGGAATGATAATGATTTCTACTCCATAGAGCTGATAGGATAAATAAACAAGATAAATACATATAAAGGACATAGAACTAATGAATGTTAGCTAATATAATTATCAACATCATTATTACTCCTTTCTATCATCATTCTCCTTACAAAAAAATGCATCATGTGTGTATTGCTTTGTGTGTTTGCCACCCAAAGGCAAATCTCCTTCCATCGCCATAAATTTGACTTTTTTTCCCTTTACTAGTTTTCCTTCCACACTCTGAAACCTATATAATTTTATTAACCAATGTCACCCCAATAAATTTCATACTGGACATTACCTAATTTGCCTATTGCTTAATCTGACTCTGCCAAAGGAGAGGAGAAAAGATTGAGCACCATTTCAGATGAGAAAGCCGCCAACCACTTCACTGAAATGGCTCCCCTTCATTTTGTTGAGGATTTTAGTTCAAAGAAGCCCTCCAGGAAACCGTGCTGTACTTCAAGATTCACTTAAAGCAACTGACCCTTTTCTACCTTGTGAACACTCACCCCAATTCAGAAACCACCTAGTGACCCCCTACTGCAAGCTAAGGCCCGTAACAGACTCTAGAGAAAATATAATAAACACAAATGACTCAAGAGGAACAGTTCAGTGGAGGAAACATCTGTAGACAATTATTTCAAGGAATTGGTGAAAATGCCATCATTAAACAATACATAATGTGTTGAAGCAACAGAAAATATTGAAAGAATATTCTGCAGTCAGGAAGCGGGGATTTAAAAATAATCTTTAAAAAATTAATCAGGACAGCTGAACTTGTGCACACCAGCTGACAGTCAGTCCCGTTTGGTCTAAAAAAAAAAAAAAAATCACAAGAGAGGACTTTGAAAAACTAAATCTGACAGGCAAGTAACTAGGGATATATTTTTCCAAGATGCTGGGACAATGCATTTCAAAAACTGGAAGTGTACGAAAACATGGAGACCAGACTACACAGGGCTGACCTGCAGTGCCCATGGGAGAGTGTCATATGAGGCAAAAACACAGAGGAAAGTCACCGTGTGACTAGGGAGGCCAAGATCAGAGGGATTCATCTACAAGATGAGGAATGCCAAGGATGGAGGCAACCCCACGAAGCTCAGAGGATGTTAATGGAACAAATCATCTGCTGGAGCTTTCAGGGAGAACATAGCCCTGTTGGCATTTTTATTTTGGACTTGTAGCCTCCAGAGCTCTGAGAAAATAAATGTCTCTTGTTTTAAGCCACCCAGTTTGTGCTAATTTGTTACAGCAGCTCCAGGAAACTAAAGTAACATCTTTTGAGCCAATAAGAACTAGGCCCTTATCTATATACTCTGATCAATTAGAGCTTTAAAAACATCTTATAGTTACATTGAGTCACCAAACAAATTCTCAACTTAGAAATTAGAATACCCAGCTACATATAAAAAAAAGATTTAAAGTTTAAATTGTCTCCCATCCATAGCTGGGATCTGCTCCAACAGCCAGGGCAAGCAGCCCATGTTTTTTCCCCGGGTCTTTCTTCTCCAACAGTTAACCTTGGTTCCAATGTCTCTGGAATATGGGAGTGGCGTGAAAGAGGGAAGGGAGGAAAAGAAGAGGCAAGTGGAAAAGGAAAGTTACTTCTGGTCACTAAGAGAGCTGGTATGTATTTAAAGCTGATTCTCAATCAGTGCTTGCTCCCCCTTCTCCAATCACTGGGGACTTGATATGAGTCATACTGTCTCACTTTACCACATACTATAGCCACAGCCCCAAGTGACAGCTTTGGCTTCTGTGTGCTGAGACCAGCCAGTCCCCGGGCAACCTCCCAGGATAGGACCTAGACAGCCTTGTGACAGTGCTCTCACATGCATGGCCACATCTGTTCCACTCTCTAACTAACCCTGGGGAAATAGGTGAATCCCAGTACAGCATTTCCACTTTGCTCTACCATACACTGCTCATTAGTTCATCTCTTGGTCTTTAGATTCATCAGAAACCAGTCCGGTGTTTTGACTACCACCCCAAAACTTCAAGAGACATATATTACACTCTCACCAAGTCTCCTTGAAGCACCTTTTTCCAGCAACGAGAGGGATAAACAGGGAAACATATCACAACTTATCTCCTTGTGGATATTCCTAGTGGACCCTCAGTTCATGCCCCCCCCTCCCCCCGCAAATTCTGCCTTTAATCTCCAAATATCCCATCCTGTTGGAGTGTGAATATAAAAGTTATCAAAAAGTTCTCATGCTCCTACTAGGGAATTCCTGCAAGGTGATCTATTTCATAAATCACTTTGGTGTCTGGTAGCTATTCCCTTTAAGGGTCAAAATTTTCCAGTTTTACAACCTATCATATTAGTTTTTATAATTCAAGCTTTAAGAGACCCATGGGAGAAGCAGTTGAAAATTGTACAGTATGTCTACCAGATATACTTTTTTTAAAAATTTTCCTGAGTATTCCATGAATTTTACATTGGTCGTCAATATAATCTGTCCTATTGACTCAGGCAGAGTGCTGATGACTCCCATGTTGTCTCTCCCAGTTCCATTCTCCTTGTCTATTCCTCCTGGTTGCGGTTCAATTCTTTTCAGCACCTTCCAAATTTACCTCCCTGTCAAAGCTTTAATGCCAACTTCTCCACAAAGTGATCCCCAGGTACTGTGGGCTCTGTTGATTTATGATCCTCTGACCTCATGTAGCAATTACAGTTAATGCCTATAATTTATATTGCCTTCTTGGGTAGTTTTAGGCTGTCACGTCTCTCCTACTATATTTTGAGTCCCTCAAGGACAGTTATTGTATCTTTTACCTATCACCTATCCCCTTCAGTACTTAATTCAGTGTTTAACACATAGGAAGGAGGTTCCTAATAAGCACATGCCCACTTTCCATGTATTAAATACCTATTAACAAAGATAAGACAGAGTTAACTTATGTGGTATAAATACCTTACCATATCCTATGATAGAAATTGCATAACAAGTCCTATTGTCACGTAAAATTTAAAGAACATTTGAACAAACTAATATGTCAAATAGGAAAAAGGTAGCAAACGAAGGAATGTGAGAGAGGTGCGGGCCATCATATAACAAGGTTGCTAATTTTGGAAATACATCCACATGCAAAGGTTTTGCATTTCTTTGTGTTTGACCTTGCCTGTCTGCTGTCGGTAGCACTTATCTCAAGGAGATTTAGGATTGTTACAAGATAAATAAAATAAGGAGCAGTTTAGAGTTTGACATCCAGGGAGAATTCTGGATCCATAGCAAGACAATGGTTTTAAGTATCAACCTTGTGTAGGGAGAAAGGGATTTTTAAAACCACAAGCTTAGTTGCCATATTAGAAGTCAGACCTAGAGAACTAGGTCATGGAGTCTTGTGATTCTAAGAGTGGAGAAAACATAGGGTATGATGTAAAAGGTATGAAAAACTACCTTGGCCTGAAAAGTTACTTGGAAAAGATGACAGGCAGAGGAGCAAGAGGAGAAACATCAAGTCTTCATTTCCCTTCTCCTAAGTTAAATCCCCAGATGAACATGGGAATGGGAGCTTCAGGCCTAGCAGAATGATTTTCAGGGCATAGACAGAAGGGGACTCCAGATTCTCTGAGAAAACCAGCATTCAGTATTTAACATGACATAGGAGCAGTTAGGGGCATAAGAGGAGAGAGGGAAATATCTAAAGACAGCATCCCGTTATCCCCAGAGCCAACGTGTGTGGCATCCAGGGGAGATAGGAGTTCCCAAGGGCCCTGAGCAGAAGACATGGGAGTGTTGAGTGGACATGGTCCCGATCATTACTTTCCCCAAAATGAGATCACATGAGGCCCATTGCCCCCACAGTCACAATGCCATCAGGACAACAGCAGAAGAAAGGGAAAACATCCTAATGCACAACCACTTACCCCAAAGTTGTTTGAGTCATTCACCCCTGATAAAAAGGAACTAAAGCTCATCTAATCCAATATCATCATTTTACAGATAAGGAAACTAAAGGCCACATTGATAGACTTGTTTACTTAAGAGTATTATGCAGCTGAAGACAGAGATGAATCAATAATTCCAATTT